ACGTACATCGACTTCAAATTAAATTCGATGACGAGGAACCCACTTTGAGACTAATAATGGCTGGAGACGGCTTGAATGGGGTAATGAAGCAAAACTTTAATATAAGTTTAATATAACAGCAAGTGTACAACGTTGTACACTTGCTGTTATGTTAAAATTATATTAAAGTTTTGCTTCATTACCCATTTAAGCCGTCTCCAGCCATTATTAGACTTCAGGTTAATTCGCTGGATATCAAGGAGACTCTGAACTAGAAAGACAATTTTATGTTGTTTGTAAGTTAGTGAAATTTTTGTTTTATAAAAATTTGCTGTGGTAACTATTCATAATAATTCTTGTTGTAAATTGTACTGTTGTATGTATATGAAAACGTATTCTCGTGAAAAAAAAGGAAGACGGTGTGTGTCAATCTTGTTGGCAAATAGCGTAAATTAACCAGAATATCGGCTTTGGACTATTTTAAATTCTCAATACGTTACAATAACTTGAAACAAACTCGAGATGAACATAGAAGGTGAGAGATTCTAAATGGTAAAAAAAGCTAGCAATATTGGTTTGAAATTATATTGATTTATTAATCTTATATTCACTACTATGGTAAATAAACGAAGCTAGCAATATTGATTCGAAATGATATCAATATATTTTTTTATATTGACTATTATGGAAAATAAACGTTTTGCAATTTCCTTGATTATTGTACATTTTTATATATTAATTTTGGTTTTATTTAAGTTTCATTGTAGTATTTTCATTAAACAAGTAGTCTGTATCAGGAAATCAAACAACTTTCTGAAACAAAATATGAAGCTAAATCTTTGGAAATAAACGGAATAAAATCTGTTTATTTCTGTAGAATTTAGCTGTTCTTTGAATATGTTATATCGTTTCTAAAAATAGATCAGATGTTTGTATAAATATTTGTTTGTTTTGAAATAAAACAGAAGTCACAAACATGTAGTTTTAGGGATATCGGAAATTATCATATTTAAAGGATAGTGATATTTAAAGTGTGAAATATAAAAAAACGGATAGCAAAAATGAATAGTTAAGGAATAAAAGAACGTGGAGAAGAATCTTCCTTCTCCACCGTATCTAGCATTACTCGCCTCATAAACGGATCACAGCAACTGACGGAACCCAGCGTCCTGGAAGGAAAGTTCTTTCCTTTGATTAAATGTACAATGAGTCTTTCCTTTACAGCATCAAACTCTAAACTGAACCAGATCCGACCCCTGTGGCCAACAGGGAAGATAAACTCCTCTCCACTATCGTCCTGGTCGACTTTGTACAAATCCGGATTTAGTTCATCGAAGAGTGAGGATTCTGTACAATAATAAATATTCAAGTGATTATTCTTCGTATTAGGTATAAGTTTCTCCTCCAGAATAGTTAACTTAAAGCAGACAAACTTAGGTTACACATTGGAGAATTTAAATTTTTTAAATTTTAAATACTGCTATACACTACCCACCAGAGAGGTCTAGTGTTCCATTGTCGATCAAAGTGAGCCTGGACCACATTATGGCATCTGGAGATGAACCAGATGATAAAGATGTTTCGTCTGGGCTCTGCAGAACGGTAAGAGGCATGGCCGAATGGATAAAATCTACAGGTTTCTCTTGTCTAAATATGAAATCAAAAACACCAAGTGTCAACGTCTTGAAAGTATAGTTTTAATGTTTATAATGCGAGTCTTTTGTAATAGAGTAACGTTCACGTAGGAGCCCACAGAGCTTATGCTTTATTTTGAATTACCTAAACTTACATTTCTAGCTAATGGAAGAAATATCAGTTTCAATGTACAATATAACATCACCAATCAAGCATAGGTTTTTAATAAAATTAATTTGTTAATTTAGTTTAATTTTTTAGTGTAATTTAAAAGAAAAATGTTTGTCGACATTACAGATATTGCTAAAATAGGTTACTTAATTTTGGTATTTTTAAAGTTTATTGTTTGCAGTCATACTCAAAATCTCTTGCTAAATCTTTACTCATTATCATTGAACTCCAGATTTCTTCTTCTGAGACATCCATTCACAAGTGATTATTTTAAGATATAAGATTTGTTAATACTTTTAGTCATTATGATTATTCAACTTGATTTGTGCAAGTTGTACGGTGTCATTTTATCGAATTTATTGCTTCATGATCACAACGTTGGCGTTGTAGCTGACTATATATGTTAATTTTAGTAATTCAGCCTTTTGTTAGGATGGTGATAATACAAGTGCTGCATTTTTTTCTAGAGATTTTTGAGGACTTTGCCTAGCATGGCCAGGTGGTTAGGGCGCTCGACTCGCAATCTGTGGATCGCGGGTTCGAATCCCCGTCACATCAAACATGCTCGCCCTTTCAGCCGTGGGGACGCTATAATGTGACGGTCAATCCCACTATTGGTTGGTAAAAAGAGGAGACCAAGAGTTGGCGGTGGGTGGGGATGACTAGCTGCTTTCCTTCTAGTCTTACACTGTTAAATTATGGACGGCTAGCGCAAATAGCCCTCGTGTAGCTTTGCGCGAAATTCTGAAAAAAACAAACAACAAATTGAGGACTTTATAAACACGTTATATTCCGATTCTTGTGACTCGTAATTGTTTTTCTAAAGCAGCAGTGGTTATGATTCCAGTGACTAAATTTAATTTTATGATTATTATAATCACCACTTGTTTATGTGTTAGGGTTAGGAATTAAATTTTTGAGAATTGCAAGTCAGTTTTAATTGATATATCATCGTTTATCATAGAACACAGATCTTCAAACATCCTAGAACTGGAGTTGTATATTTTAGAAAGATTATGTAAGTACTACAATGCTTTAGCCAAATGATTACAGTATTTTCTCAGTTCTATTAGTACTTATAAAATATTAGTTCTTCAAGAAGTATTTAGGTCAGAAATATCGATACGTGCCCGGCATGGCCAGGTGGATAAGGCGCTCGACTCGCAATCTGAGGGTCGAGGGCTCGAATCCCTGTCCCACCAAACATGCTCGCCTTTCAGCCGTGGAGGCGTTATAAAGTGACGGTCAATCCCACTATTCGTTGGTAAAAGAGTAGCCCAAGAGTTGGCGGTGGGTGGTGATGACTAGCTGCCTTCCCTCTAGTCTTACACTGCTAAATTAGGGACGGCTAGCGCAGATAGTCCTTGTGTAGCTTTGCGCGAAATTCAAAAACAAACAAACGAACAAACAAATATCGATACTGACAATAAAAATGTAAAATCACTTTATATATCTCTTATAAATTCATAAGTGCTAATGATGCCTAAGGCCGCCATTTTTTACCACACTTTATAGTTTAGTAACTTTTGATGAAGTTTTGTAGAGTTAACATGTACGTGCCAGTCTCACACTCTCACCACTATGCATTTCAAAACTTTTGTCACTCTGATACTTTTATCTTTTTATACATCTTGATATGGCCTACCACTCAAACTTCCAACAAACTTTAGAATCAAAAAGTCAAGAGCTTTTTATCGTGGTTCGAAATCGATAATATACCTTAGCATTACAAGGTCCAGACGTAAATCATGGTTAGAACTCGGTTATTATACATGGTACATCTACCTTTCGAAAAGCCTTACGCTTAAGAAAAGTAGTTCCTTAAAATAACGATATTATAATAATTAAAAACTGGATAATAGAATACGCAATTTGGTTTGTTTACTTAGGTAGCATAACGAACCTCATGCACACTAACAGCTAACTTAAAAGTTTAGTACTGATTTTAATATATTTTATAATTCGTTTATCGCCATAAATGTGTAAGTTTAGCTTCAGTTTATTGTGGCTAATTAATTCTTGTTTTTGATTATTAACGGGCTTTCACTTACGTTATACCCCCATAAACAGACGAATCCGTTGATCTCTTCGAATAATATTCAGTTGTCGAATCTCGTCCGAATTCTTCGTAGCTTTTTTGTCGCTTTCGTTGCCGATAGAGACCAAAACCAATAATGACAAAAACGATTGCAACAACTCCTACTGCCACTATGGTCAATAATATTGGATCTCCTACAATACAAAAAGTTACGATAATTAATAAGTGATAATAATGCAAAAAAATAAAATAAAATAAACATAGATTTCAAACGGAAATTAAGGATCAGTTGTCAATGGAGTAAAATAATTTAAGTAACAAAACGTAAGGCAAAACAATGATAAAATAGCACATTACACTGTAAAATACAATACTAGTAAATGTTTTTGTTCTTTTTATGAAAAATAGAAATATTTCACCTCACAGTATGAAAAAGGATGTTACCTTTTATAGCAAACTGCAAAATAAATAAATAAATAAAATAAAGTGGCAGAGACTAATGTACTTCTCACTAAACTAAACAGACTAGAAGGACAGTGAAACGCACACGAAACTGCAAAAAACTAAGTGTAAGTCGAGATAAAGGGATAACAGATTCGTATTAAGTCATAAGGGCTAAGGCTGAGTCGAGATAAAAGACCAAGATATTCTCGTGAAGCCACGGAAATTAAGAGATAGTCGCAATAACGTAGTAATAGATTCTCATTAAGCCACGAAGACTAAGGCTGAGTCGAGATAAAGACCAAGATATTCTCGTGAAGCCACGGAAATTAAGAGATAGTCGCAATAACGTAGTAATAGATTCTCATTAAGCCACGAAGACTAAGGCTGAGTCGAGATAAAGAACCAAGATATTCTCGTGAAGTCACAGGAACTAAGAGATAGTCGAGTCAAGCAAACAGTATATTCTACAGCGAGGATTCTCAAATAGTGGTACGCGAATCACTGACGGTAGGTACATGGAAATAATGTCGATGTGCGTGAAAAACTTGATGTAAAAAATATAAAATTTGCGATAAACCCAAACTGAGCTTCTTACGTACGTACACACACCACCTTCCCAACTTCTAGAATCTTCCTCCGCCTCCATACACTCGACGGTATTTTCTTCTCTTGACATTGTTTGCTTCTTTCAGGACGAAGCCACACAATGGGCTATTTGCGATCTGTCCAACACGAATCGAACACCGAATTTTAGTGTTGTAAGTCCATAAACTTAATGGTGACCCACTGGGGGAGAGGACATCTTGAAATTGACAAAAATCGCACCAGACATTCGTCAATTGTGTTATAAAAACAATCACATCTCTCCCATTAATGGATAAGACTGAAAATATTAATTCTTTGCTTCTAAATTTTCTCGGTTTTCTTAATTAGGCTTAAAATTAGGCGTGGTTTTGTACTTTCATAAAAAAGTTTAAAGATATAGTGGTACACCAGACTGGAAAGTTTTAAGAGCCACTGTTCAAAACCAAATACAGTCTTGATAAAAATATTGGTACATTTTCACTAGGCTATAACTATTTAGAGAAAGTAAAAACAAATGATTAATATATTCTACATCAGAGACAGTGCATAACAACGAATTAAGATAAACATTAAAATTTGAATCATTAAGAAAAAGAATGAGTCATGGCAAACGATTAATATATTTTGCACTAAAATCAGGGACTAAGAGTGGCTTGAAAAAACGTCTAATATGTTTAGGAGGTGGATGATAAAAAAAGTAAACTTGATACCGAATAAATGCATCAAGAAACAGATATTAAGAAATCAATGTGAATTAATTACTCGCAAATTAAATACAAGGAAAATAGGATATCTAATGACTCTTAAATTTGTATTATCTCATAATATCTAATGACTTTTTCGAAATGGTTTCATCGATTTTGCACGTAAAAAAAAGGCGTTTGATCCATTGAAACCGCAGTATAAAGAATTAGATCACATAGAACAATATGTAACGATCTGGACGTATTTCATCTATAACAATGTCGAATGTATTTACTTTTTGAACAAAGAACAATCTCAACACAACTTAGATGTTGGCATGAATTTCTTTCGCTTTGACTATAACAGAACTGACTGGAACCCTGACCTGTCCATATTTATTCTCCAGTAGCGATGTCAGCAGATACAACTTTATCGATCAGTTTTTCGTATTGAACTAGACAGAGACAGGGGAGGTATATAAAGGATACGGACGCTCTTTTCAAGAGGCGTGGAATATTATGTCTAAACTGACAGACTTTTCAATAAATGGACAAACTTTTTTTATTCCAACTTTTCCAAACAAAACTTTTTCAAAAATGCATTTCTCACTTTGTGTAAAAGTTTGGAAAATATACCTTAAACTTTTTATTTTTGTTTCGTCTAATTTTTGCGTCAAGTACTATAAACGGACAGCTTAAAATCTGCTCGATAATGTCTGAAAATTTCTTTAAGACCGTTGTGAAACTGTACATTTCCGAGTCATCTGTATATACATTTTATCGTAGCTTAAAGTCATAAATTTTATGAAGTGATGCTACCCACCAATGTTATTTAATATACCGTTTTCTTAGATTTCACAGACCTGCAAAGCATTTACGGTATGGTTGAGGTATCGGACATCAGTCGTTGTCATGATTACTGGCCTATACGATCACTTGAATTTCATTAGTTAATCATTTTATTATTATAATATGCTGACTACTAATTTATGTATATCCTACATAC